TCTCATGAGAAGTTTTATTCCATTTTCTTTCTGTAGTTTGTAATTGATAAATCTGCTACTTGAATATTTGATAATGACTTGCTTACTGCTTTTTAGATTTCTTGAATTCTTCTAAACCTAAGCATAAAACGGACTTCATTCTTTTAAAAAGGAATACATTTCAAACATTCCTCTGTTTAATCATTCCCAACCGTAAGTGCTATCGATAGGATTCGATCTACACTAAGAAGGATCAGACATACATGACATTAATCACCACTCAGTGATCAATTGATTGTGATCACATCTTAGTCCTACAGGAGGTCAGTCGCGGCCCAGAATGCTCGGTGTTAACGTCTCTGACTGTGAAGCTGAGTGACACGGGATTGAATCCGTCGTGGAACACTAGTTCCCTCAAGATTATAGTTACACCTTACTGACGAGTGCCAAGTATCAAGAAACTCAGATCCATGGTTTCTTGTTGACTACCTCCAACCACCATCTTACCGTCTTGACATAGTGTTTGAGCTTGTCTGACATAAAGACCTAGCCGAGGTATATTGGTTAAAAGTATTTGTTCTTTTATGTTCTATCATGTCAATAAAGTATGTCGAACTGTTAAGACTAAAAAATCAACACCCTGAGATCCGAACGCGAAATCATACTATTGATTGTACTGGGGTTGTATCAACAGTAATGTGTATTCCTTAAATAACTATCATTTTAAACGATTCTTCTCCTCCCCCCTATAACTGAAGACACTGGTTAGAAAAAGGAGAATAATGTTACCACTTCTACAATTTTGTCATTTGTCTTAATAATATTATCTTTCTATGAGAGAATGGTGTGGAGTGACTTCAACGAATAGAACTATTATCCGAATTCCAAATTGGTTATAACTTATTGCTTCATTTGTTCAATCTTTTATTGAATAGGTAATTTGACCACCAGCATATCCCTAAAGGAGGACAGTATATGCCTATAACGAGATTACTTGAATTAATTTGGAATAAATGTGACTTGTTCTAAGTTTAGTTTTTGTTTTCTCCAACTTAATAATCTTTGATTAATATATAGATTTTATTGACACTTTAACTTGCTACTTCCTTTTATTCATTTTAGTTAGTTCATTGGTTGATTGTGTATCTATATATGTGTATGTACGTATGTATGTGGGTGTGTGTGTGTGTTGAACATATATATATATCGTCTCGACCCGTCGATCACTCATTACATCATTTCAGTTATAAGTACAAATGATACTTCATTTGTTTAAAGTATGAAATGGTAAGTGTTGAAGAAATCTATTTTAAAATTCTGAATGACATGAATAATAAATAAATAAATACTACTTAACAAGTGTTGAATTCATTTCTATTGGGTAAAATTGGGTGATATGGAACAACTCCCCATTTCTCTCTCTCTCTCTCTCTTTTTTTTTACTCTTAGTTTTTACTTCATATTGTTTGTTAATTACTATAAAGTATAATTATTGGGAGTTGTGATTGATAATATCGTATGTATAATGTATTCTTAGAATGGGCCATGTTTTTTTTTTGTATCTAAATAAGATTGCTGCATAGTTCACAACTTCATCAGTGACTATTGTGGAAGGAGTTTCCTGAACATTACTATGCTTAATAAGTCTGATTTTGTGAGTGGTTGAGTTTCTCAATAATATTCATTATCTAACCATTACGAAATCAATAATCGAAGTACCGGTAATGGATTTGTCTATAGCACTTTTCACTTCATCCATCCTCTAAATGATATCAACAACTAAAGAACATTCGAAGAACCGAAATGTCGTAGTTATCCTGGTGTTGTTTTTTGTTCATAAAATCCAGTTTATAACATTTGTCTTAGTCAATTCTTTAATTCTATCTTCTCAAGCCTTTGAGAGCAATGAGAGACAGAAAGAGTGCCCCCAAATGCCCTAGTGCGGCTAAAGATGTTGAGAGACAGCGCTCTCTCTTTCTCGAGACACTCTCACACGGCCACTCGTATAAAACCACTTCCAGGGAAGTCCTACTCACTGCCTTCTCGCGGTAGGGGTGTTGTTTACGAAATTGAGAGGAAAAAGTGAACGTCAGGCACTGTAACCAGGTTGGTGGATACGGAGGATCCACCTGGGATCAATGGTGCACATGGGCTCCAGGATTCTGAGACAATAAATGGCCTACGAGCTTATTGTTGTTCACAGGCTACCATGAGACCGGATCTCCTAATGTTGCTCCACTGACTTGTGGATTACCACTGTAGGTCAAAGGTTCGGGAAGTGGGTTCAAAGAACACCACTTACTTCGGTTTGGGCTCCTGGACGGTATCCCTGCCCTCACACAGAGATAATTAAACTATTCAACTGTTTTGTATTCATAGTGCATTGTAAATAACAAACAAGGATGTAATTATACTCATGAAGCAGTTTACTAGATTGGTAGTTTTATAAGGACATTCTCGTAGCTAAGCAATTATCTCACATTTTAATTCAATGAAAACGCTGTATCCAAGCCTAGTTCCTGAATACTAGTCGACATTTATTCATCTATCATGTATAGAATACAATATTGAGATCTAATGTTAGTCAATATTCAGTCGTCAATCAACTGCAAACATGTTAAACATGCAAGAAGTCAGTCCCTGCGTTTCAGACTGTGAAACTGAGTTACTTGGGTTCGACTCCTATATGAAGCATTGATTCCCTCAAAATCACAGTTACAGCTTACTGAGATGAGTACCAGCTAGCACTAGGCCTAGACTAAACAGAATTTTCTGTTGGCATATACACTGATTATTATAGTTTGGTTGGTGTAGCTGATATGCTCCTTATAAAATATGTAAGATTACACAATCCAATTAACGTTTTAGGTTTAAATTTAATTTATTCTCCAGGTACTTGGGTACGGCCCTCTCTCTAAACGTAAGGGGCTAGTGATACTGCTACCCTAGTTGCCCATACTGAAGTAGGTGAGAGGGCTCGAACCTGTATGGGTGGGCATGGTGGTTGAGAGTCGGGCCCCTTAACTACTAAGTCACCGCTCCACTCCAGTCAGTTCTCGGGTTAGGGAAACCAAGGACGTAATATCACCTTCAATAGCCCTCAAATAGATACAAATAATGTTTCGTTCAGACACAAGTGGTGAATTTACAAAGTTTTAATTTAACTGGAGTTTTTTTTATTTCCTTTCTCAAAACAAACCAATTCATTTGATAATGAATCTTCTGTTTGATTAAAATGATTAGTTGTTTTCTGACATACTACTGTTTCTTTTAAAAGATTGATACCTATGTTTTTCCAAGTACCAATCAAAATGGCATTTTCCTTGGCCAATTGATTGATTCCTTTATATGTTCAAGTTAATCTCTCTCCTAATATTTGACATAACCACCATTTCATATTCCATTTACAATTTGTTAACTAACTTAAAAGTAATTTATGTTTTAATCCCACCTCGTTAGTAGTAGTAGTAGTACTACTACTACTACTATTACTATGTTTATAGTTAATTGTTTGAAGTTGAAATTGTGAATGTTGTGTTCGGTGGTCTGATTTAATTATGGCATATATTCGCTACGTTGTATCAAACTTAGTATACAGATAAGAAGATTGAAATGAATAAGAAGGTTTACTTAAGTAATCCTATGGTTATATATTCTACCTTGATACAAACTAGTTCATGTAGGCACATAATTGACTTCATCCGATAGTTTACCTAGTTTATAATTTCTCACCAGTTGTTTGATCATGTGAAAACGTGATATGTCTATACTCATTCAACTTATCATCTCCTCTTGAAAAATTGTACACTTTCCATTTAATTAAGCTAACAGGACTATAGAGTACAATGAAATTCGACCCCACAGGCTTCAGAGTCAATAGTTTAACTCTGTATATAGTCACACGTATGCTCTGCTAAGAAATGTTCAATTATGATGATGCAACTAGTCAACTCTTCATGATTTTCAATAATTTACCAATTCGTAATGTAAACTAAGTTCACTTCCATTTGTCTTATCACAGAAATATTATCTAAAACATAAACACGCAAACTGTTTTATCAAAACTGAATTAATTATTATAAATCATGTATTTTGGAAAGACTATGAAAGCAAAACATTTTTTGTAAATTCAATTAGCTATCCCGTTTTGTGTTGTTGTTCTGGGTAGTTTACAATTGCGAAGCTTTCATTGTCTTTCTAGACAGTATCTTCAGCTCCCACTCTATGTAGAGGTAAGGATTTTAGTTTAGCAGCAACAACAATTGTGAAGATAACCATTCATAAACAAGCCTATCAAAAGCAAACCTATATAACACCTGAGGAATATTAATAAGATCACGAATCGATGTAGCTTGAAAAACTGGATGCACTGAACAACCATTTCGTCACAGTGTTGGAGTTTTCATAAGTGTGTATCTAACGGAGGACTTTCACTTCTATCGACGAACGCTTAACTTCTAAATTACTGATTATTAGGCTGAGATCCGATGGCATATACGTCCAACTACAATCGATTGGCGATACTGCATTGCTACTTACCAATATCTTCAGTGGGTACCTGTCTCATACCTAACATAATTGAACCCTGATTGATCATGGCTTTTCACTGAAACTAAGGAAATTTCCTCCTGAACCTAGTCACTGGTGAACATATAATAACCATCAATATGTGGTTATGGAAATTGTAGAATTTTATCAAAATCGCAAACGGATCTATATAAGACAACTAATAATAACTAAGAAATCTATTTTAACATGAATTAAACACTGTAAAATGACAATAAAATCTCTATAACTATAAGTCATCAACCCCATAAAACAATATGACATCATCGAAGGCATCTATCTATCTGAACTATAATACCGTCTTCATCATTTCAGTCAACTATTCTGGATTGTAATTGTAACTCATTTATATTCTTATTTGTAAATCTACCTTTACAAATGTTACAATCTAATTTTAATAAAAAATTTTCTTTAACCTCCCCCCCCCATCTCTTTTTGTTTGTATTCGTTTTTAGCCATTTTGAACGAATAATTTAAACAAAAAAACATTTGATTGAATATACCCGCCAAAAACCAATCTCAGTACAATAATCAATTATTCACATATAAAACAAAACTGTTCCTTTCAAATATTTGTTTAATCGATTTGTATTTCGTGTTTCTTTCTGATTGTTCTTGGAAAAAAATACTTCTCGTCAACAATACTTCAAGAATAATACAAAATGCTTAATGGTGATATATTGCATATGGAAGATAACGGTGAGTCTTTTCTATATCAATGTCTTATCCCCTTTGATCATTATTATTATTAACCAATTAATTTATAAGATATGATGGTGGTGGTGTTGTTATTGTTTTATCGAGAAACTTCCTTGAATTGCTAGCATCTTCAGCTTTACACTAATACTGTTTCATAGATAATGTTGTATAACCATGAGATTTTTTTTTTTTCTGGATCAATCAAGGTACTATGTTGACTCTCATGACTAGTGATTCGATTGTATGTCGTTTTTTTAAAAAAAATAATGGATATTTTATAGATTTACTCAGTTTTTCGATTATTTAAGACAACTATACTGTTGTGTAATCAGAAAGCATGTCATCTAATTTACCGAAGTAGAAATATTGTAAGTGATATGTGTGTATTTGTGTTTTTGTTATTGAAATCTTCATTACAAACTAGTTTTAGTTGTAGCTCAACTGGGTCTGTTCTGAAATGGTAACTCACTGAACACAATGGTCAATGTGTCGCTCAATTTCGTGGATTAGTTGAAGCTAGATACTAACACCGTTGCATGCCGGCTCAGTGGTCTGATGGTTATGCGCTCGCGAGCGAGACTGAAAGGTCCTGGTTTCGAATCTCACAGGGTGGCGGGATCGTGGATTCGCACCGTTACGGAAGAGTCCCATGATAGGACGAAACGGCCTTCCAGTGCTTCCAGGTTTTCCATGGTGGTCTAGCTTCAATTGGCTCATGATCTCAACTATTGAAAAAATAATAGCTAAATATAAACCACTAGATGGTTGATTCAGCCTAGTTGAGAATTATCAGATTACTGTGAACTAATGACCTTACATAACCTAGAATGTTTCAGTTAGTCAGTCAGTTAATCAATCAATCATGATCATTGCAAAACCTGATATAGTTTTGCATTAGCTAAAGTTACCATACCACATTAGCTCAACTAGATGAATAACGAAGTAGTCGAAATAATTTTTTAGCAGTGATAATAATGAGAAATGAACGGGATACCGTGACTTAAGACCTAGACAGACATAAAGAGTTAAAAAATCTTCATAATTGTAACTGAGTCTAACTCATTTCAACCATTGTTTCCAACACTTAATTACAATTATTGTATAAACCACAAACAGTTCATTAGACTGAACACAATTTCATTTAACCATAAAGAATTCAGTATGGAGATTTGTGAAGATTGTAGTGTTTTAACAGCTAAATTCACGAGTCAATCTATGCTAGACCACCATTGAAAACCTAGAAGTACTGGACGGCCGTTTCGTTTCAGTATGGGAATCATCAGCATTGTAATTTATGTGTAAAAATTAAACAGACAATTAGAAATATTAACATATTAGTGATAAAGGATACAGATTAAATCGTGATACTGTCATATATAGTTAATTGTTCACTAATAATAAAACTGACAGGAAATTCTTGATGAAACACCTTTTTTACGCATAGACAGACTGTATTTTTTTCTCTTTGTATTCAACAGTTAAAGTTATCATAATGCTTTAACTCAACGTCTTGATTTATGAAATTTTGTTCTGTAACAGTTAAAATTTATATTCAGAATATACACTTATTAATAGATTTTGGGTGAATTTAGAACTAACTCAAATTCAGTTATCAGCATAAGGTTGTGGAGATTGTTGGATTTCGTTAAAATCATAAACTGATCAATGTTAGACCACCATTAAAAACCTGGAAGCACTGGATGGCCGTTTCTTCCCGATTCGGGACTCCTCGGCAGTGCACAGCCACGATCCCGTAAGCAGGACTCAATCCCAAGATCTTCGGCCTCGCGTGCTAGTGTTAATGTCCAACTTCAACCAATCCACGATATTTTGCAACCATCTTTCACTGTTTTCGGTGGGTAACTGCCTCACACCCCACTGGTCACGGCTTCTCACTAGAACTTCGATAATTACTTCTCGAAGCTAGTCACTAGTGAGTACATGATCATTTTTAGTGTAAGTCCTGATGATTGTTAAGTTTCACTGAGATCATAAATCAATCAATGTTTGACCAGCAATCAAATCTTGAAAGAAACACGTTTTCAGCGCTTATCATGAAATTCATTAACACCATTGGATTTCGCTTTAGCGATCTATAGGTTAGTTGTTCGTGCACGATACCGAAGGTCATGCATTCGATTGCAGAGTACGGGATTGTGAATGAGCACTGCTAAGTTGTCCCGTACCTAGGTGAAACGGCCATTGGTTGTTAGCAGGTTTTCAATAGTAGTCTAACATTCATTGATTCATGATTTCAGTCTAATTCAATTATTGTATTGCCTAATTCATGTAATGTTGGTCAAAGTAGTTATTAAATGATAATTTAATATAAAGTCCCAAAAATGTTTTAATCAGTGTTGAATGTTACTCTGTGCTAATCAGAGATATCAGTTCAAGGCCTGTTAATATGAAGCCAATATTAATAAATGGATGCAATTGGTCGAACTTTGATTTAATTGCCCTATATACCCTATTGGTTGGAAATATGGACTAATTATCTGAGGGACACAAATCTACATTCATGAATGAGTTTGTACATATTTCTAAATTCAGATTCTATAATACAGTTTCTTATTCATCCTAGGTTTTGTCACTCAAGTAGCAAGGTTGAACCCACATATAAGAAGGGTACCCAACATAACACAATATATTGCAAATTAGTACTGTGTATTCATTGCAAGGTTCCATTTATAAAATATATTCAATTTAATATGCTATGAGAGACCAGATAATTGAGATTCATGCGTGCATGCATACATGAATGCATATACACTCACATGTACCCAATTAAACATACATATGAACACGCCTACTATTCGAATAGGTTTTTTCTCTTTGTTTTTATAAAAAAAAACAAGTTCATTAAACAACCTAAAAATTTTCGTGACTCTCATAGTAACAATTCATTATTTTCCTATTTCATATAAATGATAATACTTTTTATGACATATGTATAATTATAGTAAGTTTGGTTTTAAAGAAAAAAGTCATGCAATATACCTGTGAATTTAATGTGAACTGATGGTCATTTCTTCTATTAACTACAATATCATTAAAGTTTATAACAGCTGGTCTTTAACTGATACACACAGGTGTATTTTATTCATATCAGTATTAGTTATTCCCTTGAATATTTCCTATGATGAATTATGTGAATGAATATTTAATGTTAATATTAGATACATTATTACTTTACTTTACTTACTTACTTACTTACTTACGCCTGTTAGTCCGTCTGGCGTCCCTCCATGGGCTACTGCCGGTCTCAAGCCCGGATAAAGGAGGAGGGTTGGGCATGGGGTTAGCGACCCCATTCCGTAGAAAACTAACTCGCTAACAAAACGCTAACCAGAAAAAAATCTACATTATTGATAGTCAGTAACAACGTGGAACTTCGTATGTACGTATATCAGTTCGAGTTGCCATACCACATTAGCACAGAGATTCAGTTATCGATTCAAATCCCGTAGTGGTAGAGGTAGTAAAAGTATAAGTAGTGATAGGGAACATTAGGGTTTGATGATGTTATTTAAGGAGTATAATACATTGAAATAAACTTGGAAAGAGAATAAAAAGGGATATGAAGAATTCAGAAGATTAGAGTTTGAGAGAACACAAAGAGTGAATGCACCTGCGCCATTTCAAACGATTTTGAGCCATGTCATTCAAGATCTCTAACCATCGATTGCTATCGTCTCGCGGACCCCAACCAAGTAGTCTATACCTACTGACATGGCTCAGTCCACTTGTCAGTGACTTCATGGATAGGAATTTAATCTCACTATTAACCGAATATACATTATGAACTGATCTTGATAAGTTACTATTGAAAATCAAAAACTATTAGACAACTGGAACCCTCAATGAATGCTTAAATCAATGAATTTAGGTCGAATGATTTACATGTTTAAATTCAAATGATCCCTAATATTATTTATTCCTATTAATGGGTAACTGTCTCACACCGTAAATACAGTTGATCTTCATTAGTTACAACTTTTCATTAGAACTCCTAGTCAGCATATTATTATTATTGTTATTATTATTATTACTACTATTATTATTATTGCTATTATTATTATTACTATTATTGTTACTACTACTACTATTATTATTATTATTATTACTATTATTATTATCACTATTATTATTATCACTATTATTACTATTATCGTTATTACTATTATTACTATTATTATTATTACTAATACTATTATTATTATTACTATTATTACTACTATTATTATTATTACTATTATTATTATTACTATTATTGTTACTACTACTACTACTATTATTATTACTATTATTATTATTTTTATTATTACTATTATTGTTATTACTATTATTACTATTATTATTATTACTATTACTATTATTATTATTACTATAATTACTACTATTATTATTATTGCTATTATTATTGTTACTACTACTATTATCAATATTACTACTACTACTACTATTATTATTACTATTATTATTACTATTATTATTACTATTACTATTATTATTATTATTATTAATTAGAATAGGAGGCTCGTAGAGATAATGAATTAAAGTCAGTTTAATGTAATCCATTGAATCCTGATTCATATCTAATCGAACTATTTAAACTAGATGGTTTATAATTACTTTTCATACAATGAAGAATGAAAAAACATCAACTTATTTTTTTCTTTTATTCACTCCTTATCATTACTGTATTTGTTTTAGTTTCGGATATATTATATTTAAAGCATATCTTCTGTTTATTAGTACTCAGTTATTTGTTTAAATGATTATTTCTCTGTCTTTCAATCACCATTACATACAATTGCATTTATAAATGTATAAACAATTGTATACATACATACTTATGCATATATGCGTATATGTATATGTATATCTTTTTCTGTTCAATGTTCACAGTTGAAATCACTGATAACAAGACAAAACGTTTTTTTTTTTTATTCTTCATCAAATAATCAGTTAGATATCAGAAATCATCAGACAGACAG